AATAAAATAAAATAAAAATGAAGACTTTCTAGTGGAAGCCAGAATCTTTGTTTAACAAATTCCTAGGTGGTTCTTTTATTCTAAAATTTCAAATTGAATGGTTTTAAATTCTTTGGTCTGATGAGAGTCCATGTGGTACTAAGGTCTGTCAAACTTAAAAGCTTTAATAATATGAATCGTCTAATATCATCCCCGGTTTTACAGAGTACTCAAATTTGCTACTCTTGCACTCATCAATCAGATCAAGAGTTGGCAATTTTTCTCTGTGAAGGTCCATGTAGTAAGTATCTTAGGTCACATGGTCCCTTTGTCTCTACGCAACTCTGCTGTTGTAGCACGAAAGCAGCCATTGATAATACACTAAAGAAAGAGTGTGGCCATGTCCCAATAAAACTTTATTTGCCAAATCATGCAGCGGGCCAAATTTAGCCAATAGGCTGTACTTCGTCAATGTCTGATTTGGACAACCATATTGGTGTAGGAAGGCTTTCTTAATCAAGGAAAAGTATGCCTTGCGGAAAAGCCAGACAGTACAGGAAATCTCATGCTTATATCCCCTGGCCCAATTGATATGTCAAGTGTGTGGTCAAACAGTAAGAGCCACCCTGCTTCACTGGTGAGACTGAAACCGGTCAATGTAGTTGGGTATTTTTTTTGCCACTATACTGTTGTCTCTTAGATCACCTAATCACCAGCAAATGGCTTCTACAGTATTCACCCACAGTGGCAACTGACAAGGTAGCTGTTTCCAGCAATGTATGGAGACTGCTAATAATCCCAAGGACTCAAAGTGCAAATTATGTCCTAGCTGAGAGTCCATGGCAACACCAGGGAGAGCCACACCAGTTCAGTCAGAGGGAAGCACCTGCAGGAGCGACAGCATGTCCCGACCTCTGCCCACACCCCAGAACATGCTAGTTAACCAACGGTCTTCAAACACAGTTTGGCTAGCAACCAACAAAGCTGGTTTCTAAGAAACCATTGTACAGGAAAAGAGAGAAAGAAAAAGCAAAATGAACGGGGTACAAACAATCAAGAGTCAAAATATAATCAAGGGCACAAAAAAAAGGGATATCTAAGAAGAAGGCATACAAGCCTGAAATTTCCACACACTGAATAAAAGCCTGCAGACATGGGAAAAAAAGGAAGGGGTGGGGGAAACTACTCCATGTGTAATAGGGGCAATCCCTTTTCTTACCCCCATTTCCTTATTTATACCGGTGATCATTTATAAATATTTAGACACTAATTAAAATTTGAAGTTCTAAAAACTAGTAAATGTGACTATGACATTCCTAGCTGCTTCCCTAAAAGAGCACTGCTCAAAAATTCTCTGGTGTGCTGTTTCCAATAACAGTAACATCAGCCTTCCCCACCCATTCATATTCTATTAATACAATTAAGATATTTGGGTCTTACAATGAAAAGTTTCCTTTAATCCACTTTAAACGAGTGTGGAATTTTTGAAAGAGTGTGATTATCTTAAATGGAGAGAGACCATTCCCAAAGCATGAAGACAGGCTAAACTTAGAAGAGGGGATGGCAGCTCTCTGAGAGGGACCAGCTAAAAGACCAAAGCAGCCTTTGCGAAGGAACAGAACTGTAAGGGTGAGAGAGAAGAACGCATGCTTGTGACACCCAAGCATGAGCTGGATGCTATGGCCAAGAGGAAACCCACCTATAGGGAAGTTACTGAAAGCATTTATTGGTGATGGCCCTTTTTGCAGCTCAGGTGTAGTGTGGGGCATGACGTTGTCGAGGAAAGATTTCATGGCTGGCTGATGGAGTGACTGCTGCTGAGATGGCGGAGTTTGCTGCTTCACCAACAGGTTTGGATCAAGTTGACGAGATTGTTGCATCATTTGCTGCTGCACACTAAGAGGTCGACCCTTAAAACAAAATGGGGAAAATTGTAAGGAAAAAAGTCTTTAGAGATACCTACATAGTCCTCTTCATTTTTGAGTTCACTTTCTTCTCAGCAGAAAGGTGAACAATCACAGTATAACAGTTAATATGACTCATGAGTAAACAGCTTAATAAACAACAAACTTCACTGTATTTTTAAAAAATTCTATTTTAAGAAAGACATTTCCAATCTCTTGTTAAAATGGAAATGACAGAAGTAGAGTTTATCAAAATAAAGGACAGCATAGCAAGTGGAAGGATCTGATCTACCTGCTGGTCTTGCTGCTGCCGGTTACCAGAAGGCACGCTTCTCTGACTCTGCGCCCTTTGCTGCTGCGCTAACAATCGCTGGAGGGAAGACGGAAAAGGGTTGTCACTACCACAGCGTTAAATACTAGTATGCCTCACAATGACTACAGCAGATGGACCTACAGAGGCATAACTTGATCTAGCCAATGCTGACATGTCCTGACTCATCTAGAATAATCTCTTCCTTGGACTCTCTGGCTTCCAGCCATTCTACTGAAATTCAGTCTTTAGTTCAATCTAAACTTTCACTTCAACAGAGAAACTTTTCCTGATCATTCTACCCCCTCACCCCCACCCCCGACTTGGCTGGGCCTCCTCACCTAGCATCCTGCACTTCTTCAAAACACTCCTCACAGATGTTCACAGTGTCTTCCCTGACAAATTGTAAGCTCCAAGAGGGCTATGACTAAAATTGTTTTGTTTACTGCGATACTTCCTGCACAGAGTCTAGTGTTTGGCACACAGGAGACACTCAATAAAGTTGTACTAAATAAGACTATTACTCTACTTACCTGTAACTGGGAGATCTGAGAAAGCTGGTTTAGTTGGGATAGCTGGTTCAGCATGGCTACCTGTTGAGGGCCGAAGAGCGGATTCAGGCCACCGTTGTTTGGTGCATACTTCAGCAATGAAACTGGAACCTTAGGATTAGAATGGTAAGTTAATAATGTTGATGAAGTAGCTCCAACTAGCTGTATGTACTGGGTATTTTAAAATGTCGACAGAACAATTAAGTTTACGGACTATTCATTGAGGAATTGTGGTCTTTGTCTTACTAATTTATCATTCGCTTATACTTTTTCTTGGGTTAAGTAAAAGATGACAGAGATTGTACTCTTCTCAAGATGTTTTATAGAAGAATCTGATAAATTTTAGATTTAAATTATCCTTGACTCATGTTCTTCATCCTTCCTACATCCTTTTGTAATAGCTAATTCAGAACTAGCTCTACCTCAAAGATGCTTCCACCCATTCTGCTAAAAACTCAAAGATGTGGCTAGCTGTGAATTAGCTATTACAAAATAGTCATCTCATTCAAATATAAAATTATTCAAGATTTTCCAGGTAAGCAGACGAGAATATAAGGAAAGCTTACTTACCTGAGGGGAGAGTAATGGAGGAGGCACTTGAGCACGGAGATTAGGCTGAGATGAACTAAGAGGTTGTGCTGGAGGCTGCTGCATGCCCCGGGGTTGTGCTGCTGTGTTTCCAACACCAAACATACTGGGATTGCCATTCTACAAAAACAAGCAACAGATAACAGTGGGATTCTTTAGGGACCAACATCTCATTACCACATTGTACTACTGATTTAAACACAGTAACTACAGGTAAGAGAGATCTTATTACTAATACAAATCATTCAACAGAGAGCCTAAAATACACACCTGGACTTACCTGTCTAACAGAATTCAAGTTTTGCATACCCAGCCCTGCTATGGAGCCAAGGGTCTGGTTAGGTAGTGCACTATTTGAAGGGGGAAGCTTCATGCTTTGACTGGACATAAACTGCATGTTTTGGGATTCATCTGCTACAATGCCATCCTGAGTGGACAGACAGAAAGATGTGCAACACCAGCCAAGCAAACAAGTGGAAGGGAGAAATCATTGCAGGAACAGAAGAGAAGTCACATGACATTCCAGCATCAACAGGAAACAAGTAGAAAACAGAAGAGATCAGATTAGTGTTAATTCTAGAGCACATAAAAAGAGCCAAACATATTTTATGGGATTAAGAAGAAAATATAAATGCAACTCCTATGCTAAATTGAGACATGAAAGGACAATGAGCTACAAATCCAGTAACAGGATTTAGTACTGGATTATAACATGTTAAATTATATAAAATGTTCTAAAATATTAATGTGAAAATTATACTATTAAGTGTATTGGTTTATTAGTCACAAAGACAAAGGTAAAAAAAATCTTACCTTATCAAAATAAGGATTGCGCTCCATGGAAGACTCTTTGGAAATCTGAGGCCGAGAACCAGGGCCTTTCCCGACCGTTCGATTGTAATCACCAATATTTAGGCTATGTTTATCTATCTCCATTCGTTTGTCTTGTAACATTCCTAATAAATGCAGGAGACTATGTTATCAAACAGGAAGACAACCTAATTGGTTTCAGATAAATTTACAACAGAAAGGAAAATACTTTCCAAACAAATAACTTCTGCCAAAATACGGATATATGAAAAACATACTTGCATTTCATAAATCTTGCATTCCCCACAAGTTGGGTTTAGCAGACAGTGTTATTTTATTGAACCAATTAGCTTGAAAAGACTAGTCAAAAGAAGGTGGCTAACATCTCATTTTCAAAAGACTTCTCAGGCAACATAACTTATGACATCTATATTCATCTCTAACATGCTTGATTTTATAATAAAGATAAGTTTCTATTAACAAGTAACAAAAACAACAACCAGCACCCACCAAAACCACTGTTTAATAAATGCCTAGTATATGTCAGGCACCATTCCAAGTGCTCTACGTGTACTAATTTAATGCTTGTCCTGTTATCATGCCTATTTAGCAGGTGGGGAAACTGGAGACCAGACAGGGCAACAACTTCCCTTCTCCAAGGTCTTGCTAAGTCTGTTACTCTCCTCATTCTGACTGCTCTGCAAAAAGAAACGACCTTCTCTCACGGAACCTTCTCTCCTGTGAAATCTTCTTTGCCGGATACAGCCAGCCCCAGCCCATAAGCTACCATCCTATTTCAACAAATCTTCAAAGTGGACCATGCTCTCTCCCTCCCCACCCTTACGATCTGCCCATTCTGGTTTCTCCTTTTTGTACACACTGAGCCCGCCTCCTTCTGCTTCTTCAATGTTGGCCTAGTATACTCACATCTCAGTCTTTTGACTATCTCTCTGTATACCTGCTTCCCCTAGACTATTCACTATCAAGGTATCAATAGTCATTCCCATTCAAGTGACTTCCAAATACAAATGTGTAGCTTTGACTTCACGGCTCAGCACAATCCCACATCTTTAACTGCCTAAATATCACTTCAATGCCTCATTGTCACTTCTAAAATAGGTTTTCACCTCCCTATTCCTCATTCTCTACATTTTCTCAATCCTCGAATCTCATCCATCATTTCTTTGCAATTGCTGTTTTTTGAGATGTCTGCCACCACCATAATACTTACCCTTACTACCCTCATTCTAGGGAAGTAGAAAAGGAAAAATTTTTAACAAAAGGAATAAATTCTTAAAATAAGTACATTTTAAAAATGCCATTAGTTTCCTAAAGTATTGTTCCAGCTATGGGTCAGGCATCTGAATAATCTACCTTTTAGCACTTGTTTAACAGCCCTCCCTTGAATGTCAATAATCCTTTGCAACAACCCCTTCCTCTGTTTTCTTCCCCCACCCCCGTTAATGGCATCATTATTCACTGATACACCCAAGCTACCCATATTGAACTCTTTCCCTCACTCTCTACATCTAATCCTATAACCAAATCCAATCAACTCTTCTTCTCCTAAGTCTCTCTCCTAGTTCCTTCGTAATAATCCACATTATTTTTGCCTATGCAAATTGTATCTTTTAAAAGAGTAATGTGTTACATCTTCTCCAAAAACCATTCCCCAACACTTCTATATCCCTCTAAAAACTAAGTGCCAAATGTGGCAATCTTCCCTTAGGCCACCAGCCCTCTAAAAGGGGCCTTTTTTTAACCAATTTTCCTCTAAGCTCCACTGTCAAATCCATACCATTCTCCTGTTTTCAAAACTCTACGCTCACTTGGCTTCTGAAAAATTACTCTATTCTACTTCAACTCGTCCTACTTCTCAGGATATTCCTTAAATTGTCATTATTCCCTAGGATTCTGTCTTTGGGCCATTACTCTATGACCCTCTCTGGTCAGTGTATCCTTATGGCTTCTACTGCCATCCATGTCTAATTAATTACACCTATCATTCCAGCCCTATCTATTCTGAGCTCCACATCCAGATTTTCTACTGCTTATTGGACACTGACACATGGTTTTCACAGCAACTTCAGGCTCAGTATCTTATCTATCAAACCTGCTATTCCTATTATATTTCTTATCTAAAATAATGACTAGTTATTGATTTATTATCTCTCAGCTCCCAATTCCCCCTTTTTGATTGTTCTATTTTTGCCAGCTGGCCCTGAGGCATTGTCAGTAGAGGATGCTGGAGAGACAATGAAGGAGGAAACGTGCTTCCGGTCGTGTGCTCACTTGGCGGGTTCCTGCAGCACTCACAGCTTCTCCAGTGCCTGTCTGGTCAGCCAGCAGCACTCGGTGCCCAGCTTCTCCCAGCATTCCCCCACACCTCCATGCAGTTTTGTTGCAGAGTATCTCTGGTGAGATACTTCTCCATGAACAGCTTTTCCTACTACCTTAGAGGGTAGATTTCCAGAAAGTTCCACCAGTATATCATAGCAACTTCTGTGCCATTCAGTGAGGTGTGGAGGAGGCAGAGATTTGTTCTCATGGGAATAGACATATATTCTGGACACGGACTTTTCTTGCCTGTAAGGCTTCTGCCATCCATGGTCTCACAGATTTGCCTTGTTCACCATCATGGCACTCCTCACAGCATTGTGCCTGATCAAGAAACTCATTTCACAACAGAGGAAGTGCAGTAATGGGCAAGTGCCATGGGATCAAATGGTCTTACTACATATGCCATCACCCAAAAGGAGCTAACCAAATTGACAGGTAGAAGGGCTTACTAAAGACTCAGTTACAAAGTGAGTTGGGAGACAATATCCTAAAACGATGGGCTTCTCTGTCTTACAGGATGCAGTATGTGTCTCCCCCATGACCAGAATACACAGGCCTGGGAATCAAAAGGGGAAAGTAAGAGTGGCTTCTCTCCTAATTATACCTAATAAGCCACTTACAGAGAATTCTTGCTTCCTGTTCCAACAACTCTGCTGGTTTAGAGAATTTAATCCTTGAGAGAGAAAATACTTCCAACAAAAGACATAACTATGGTTCCACTATATTGGAAGATGAAGACTGCCACCTGGACATTTTGTACTCCTTGTGACATGAACTAGCAGGCAAAAAAAGGCACTAGTCTACTGGCTGGGGTGACTGATTCTGATTACCAACGGGAAATTGGTTTCCTGGTACAAAATGAAGGCAGTGAAGACTGTGTGGAACCCAGGGTAGTCTCTGGGATGATTCTTAGTACTTCCATGCCCAGCGACAAAGGAAAATGAAAAACTACAGCAACCATAAAAGGCAGGACGACTGAGGGCTCAGACCCTTCAGGAATGAAGGTTTGGGTCACTCCACCCAGAGCAGCTGAGGTTGAACCTGAGAGTGGGGTAAGTTTCGAACAGGTAGTGAAAAAAGGAGGCCACAGATACCAATGATGGCTTGTGATCAATTACAGAAATACCAATGGTAGTAGCTTTGCATGTCTTCTATAGCTTGTTACACGTATGTGTTAATTTGTATAGGACAACCATTTTCTTCTTCTCTTCCCCATTTTTACTTTATTCACAAGTTGTTGGTTAACTTTGTAAATTAATCTTCAGGTAACAAATTGTGCCTGAATGTAAGGGATAATTAATACAGCCAGTGATGAATACAATAATTCTTGAGAATGTACATATCCTCATTTTGGAGAGAGGGTGAAAACTTCTTGGCTTGTAAGAATGAACACTGTATCTTGTTAAGTACAAATATAGAGTTGTTTTGCCATTGTACTGGACTTTAAATGTGTGTAGAAGAATGCATATGGAAGGTGGGCAGTCAAAGGTTGGGTGAACTGTGCTGTTTACTGACTTACTTCCTCTCAGCTCCAAATTCATCCTTTTTAACTGCTCCGTGAAAAAAAAAATGGATCTGGGCCATATACATATTTTTTTCTTTGCCAGCTGGCACTGAAGCTTTGTGGGTAGAGGGTGTAAGATAGACACTGTAAGAGGAAAGTTTGGTTTCCTGGCTCTGGTGTGCTCTATCCTGTAGCACAAGCAGCTTTCCCAGCACCAGGCTCCTATAATGCTGGCTCACCAGTGGCCAGCAGCTTCTACCAGCATCCTCTCTGGCAGCTTTGGTGCAGGGAGCCTCCAGTGAGACACCTCTCCTCTGAGCTGCTTTCACTGGTATCTTAGAGGGTAGGTTTCCTACCATTCCACTGTGGTGGCACCATAGTGAGGGCAGAGGGCTCTTCCTTGGGCATGCTATGTCAGTCCTAATTTGGTGACTTCTTCTATCTGCTATTCATATCTTCTTTAGAGTTCTTGTTACCTCTTATTAGCCAGTGCCTCACTACTTCAATTCCTTGTTAGAGTTAATAATTTTTTATATTAAACTTTCTCTGTTCAAATGTCACATGTTCTCATTCATTTGTGGGAGCTAAAATTTTAATAATTGATTCATGGAAATGTAGAGTAGAATGATAGTTAGCAGAGGCTGGGAAGGGTAGCAGGGGGTGGGGGATAAAGTGGGGATGGCTGGCTAACAGGTACAAAAATATAGTTATATACAATGAATAAGATCTAGTATTTGGTAGCACCTTACAATGACTATATTAACAATGACTTATTATGTTTTAAAATAACTATCAGAGTGGAACTGGAATGTTCCTAACACCAAGAAATGATAAATGCTTGAGGTGACAGACAGCTGAATTACAGTGATCTGGTCATTACACACTGTATGCCTGTATCAAAACATCACATGTACCCCATAAATACATACAACTATTATTACCCATAATTAAAAATTTCAAAAAAAATTTTTTAAACCAACCTTCCCTATTCAAATTACTGTATAGTTTCTCTCTCCTGACTGGACTCAGACTAATACAACAGCACCACAATCTACTAGACCGTCCAGGCAAGACAGCTGTCAAGTTATCCTTTATCACACTCTCCCTCACCCTCCATAACAAATTGGTTCAAAGTGGTTATCAACTTTTGCTGATTGTAATTCCTATGTCTCCACTGAATTAGATTCTCAACATCTACTGTCTTAGCCTGAAGCTTTGAAAATAATCACTGGCTCAATAAATCTCTAACTGGTTTTACTATCTTTAGCATCTTTTTATCTGTCTTCTGCTGCCAATGTTTTCTGTCTTAAGATATTTGCAATCTATACCCAAGATTATTTTTCTAAAATATAAATCCAAGCCATGTCATTCTCCTGTTTAAACTTCTTTAATCCCATACTTTAGGAATAAAGTTCAGATCCCTAAGCTCCTCATGACTTAGCACTTACCTAGTTTTTCCAGCACCCACCTAGTGAAGTTTCACCATCCCCCAACCCCCACCACCAATTCTGTATTTCTTGTCCCATTATATAGAACTACTTGTCATTCCTACAGTATAGTCTAAGATGTCTCTGTCCTTCTAGGTATTTATATATGCTGTTCCCTGGTCAAGAAGATGATACTCTCTAATGTGAATAACTCACTCTTGACAGGATTATATTTAAGGTAATCAGAATAGTATCACCACTGCCTTAGCTCTGCACAATGATTTGCATTTTAAAGGCACATCAACACATTTAATCACAGCATTTTAATGTATATTGGGCAGCAAAGATCTCCCCTTTCCTGGTCTAGGTCCAGTAGGTTCATGTCACAGATATGCCTGCCCATCGATGAATATAAACTCAAACTGATTTAACTTTCTCTTACCTCCAGAAAGGTCCATCTTATTGCTCTGTACATTTTCTTCTGGTGAGTCTCTCTAAAGAAAGAAAAAGCCAACATGTTAGCAGACCTTAATTTATCAATGAAATCAAATGAAAAATGAAGAATTTTACTGTATTTTACTATGTGAAATTCAAGTGGATCATAAAGCTCCATTTTTCATTGCCTAATATAATTTTAAAAATGTTTTAAAATAAGACATGTAATCAAAGTTTTTAGCTAAAATGATACAAATAAAGGTTTCAAGGCCACTTTTACTCTAACTTCAAGCATATTTGTAAGGACTCAAAGATTAATTCTTAAGAAAACAAAAAAAATGAAATCAGGATAAATTTTAATAGAATACCATTAAAAGGGGAGGCAGCTGCTAAGGAAACATACTTACCGAGAAACTGATATTTGAAAACTGCTTAACAAATGGATTTATCCATGCTTCTTCTTGTTTGTTTCCACCTTTCATCATTCCCTTTGTAAAATAAAAAAGTAGAAAAGATGCCATGGCCATATCTATTTATCTGGGTATAGTGATGGATTAATAAAACTTTAAGACAATTCCCACCTTTCATTTTTAGCCAATAATTTTTCCTCCAACCAACTCTAATTAGAATTGTTAACAATTAAAAATCAACTTATTTGATTTTCAACTTCCTTTGCTCCAGTCCTCTGGTATAGCTGTAATGTATAGAGAAATCTCTAAAGGCAAGCAGTCAGAAGGAAAAGACAGAAGCAAAAGGCCTCAATGACCCACAAATAGGAAAAAGGGCCTCTGAATAATGGAGAACTGTCTATCAGGCAGTTTCCAACTTACACATGGACTGCGTTTTATAAAATTAATTATAATTTAGATTTTTGGAATTCTTACTCCAAACCAAAGTAAAAAATAGCAATTAGGTTCTTGGGCTGGTATGAAGAAGCCAATTTAACCCACAATTTAATTATGCTAGGTACACTGTACTTAAAAAAAAAAAAAAAACCACCACCATGTGTTTTCACATGAAGAAGTATTTTAAAATTTTTATTTGTGTTGCCAAGAACATAACACCCCAGCAGTAGCTGAAGCTGGGATTCCTCCCACGTAGTGTTGGCTTTCTGTGGCTGGCTGGGGTATGGGTGGTATGGAGACGACACTGAGTTGAGAGAACGAGGGGTCCGTGACCAGCAGTCTGGTAGACAGGGAGGCTGGAAGCCATGGAGATCCAGGTCTCTCATTTATGTGTAGGTCACAGGACCATCCTCAGTCTGTGGCCATAACTGCCCTTTCCCTTTGCTACTACCTGTTCCTTCTGACTGTGGAACAGAACACAGCTTCGTAATTCCCCTCTAAATGCAGGTTTCTGAAGCAAGCACCTAACCCTCTCTGAAGTTTCTGAAGTTGTCTGTGATTCCTTTTCCTCTTTTACCCCTCCATCCCCATATCTAACTAGTTGCCAAGTTTTTCTCTCAAATTAGTCCTTTCCACTATACACCCATTCTTGTTTCCCAATTCAAGCCCTCCTTTCTAACTTGAATTAATGCAGAAGCTTCCTGCATTTGGGAGAGATCCCAAACTCTTATCTCTCCTCTGTTCCAATTTATATTTTATACTCTCATTGGTTGGTTTTCTTTAAAAAATTAATAATTTGAAAAATCCACTGATGTTGTCTTTTACTCAATTTCATTGGCTCCATATTTTATACAGAAGAAACTTCAAATTCTTTGGCATGATATTGAAAACACTTTAAAAAATCTGTCCTTAATCTAATTACAGAGCCAGATCTCTTATCACTTCTTTCTAGAAATTCTACATTTTAGTTATGCTGGACTATTATTTTCCTTAACACATCCCACCCCAAGCATCTTCCAAATTTAAGCTGATACTCTTTGAAGTTCTTCTAATGCCCCATATGACTATGAGCTCCTTGAAGGTGTAACTCATATCTTAGTGCACTTGAATCCCCAGCACCAAGCACAGTACCTGGCACACCGCAGAGGCTAAATAAATGTTTGCAGTTGCTTTCTAAAGATTTTTACTAGTAGAAACAAAGGAGAAAGAGTAAAAAGGCTACACACCCTTTCCCTTCTCCTTTTTTTGCCACTCAGACCCTGTAAGGAAAGACAAAGTCACAAAACAGCATGGTCCAGTGGGAAGAACATAGGGTTTGGAATTGGAAGATCTAAACTCAAGTCCTTGCTCTGTCACTTACTAGTTATGTAACTTTGGGCAAGTCACCACCTTTTCCAGTCTCAAATTCCTCATCAGTATCCTATCTTAGAAGGTTATGCGGATCAATGATTTATGCAAAACATGTAAAAGCACTTCATAAGCTATATGGCGAGGCAATAGGCAAATTCAGCCAAATGAAAATGGCAGGTCCTAGACTTAGAATCCCAGGATTAAAAGGGAGGGAACTTGGCAGTCAGGTAGTCCAGCTACCCACTGAATATTTGACTTCTAAGGTCCCTCAAAAGGCAATTATTCTCAGGTAGGGTGGAGAAGACATTTTAGAATCACTTGGGGGACTGGGCACATATTTTGAAAACAGTCTCCAGGAGAACATGACACCGGCCCCCAATACCACCTCTTAAGAGCCAGTGTTCTAAATCAGTGGTTCCCAAACCTGGCTATGCATCAGAGACATTTGGGGAGCTTGTTTAGGACAAAAACCTTGGTTCAATTTCCAAAATTTCAGTAGACCTAGGGTATAGGAAGCTATACTTTTAACAAATGCCATGTGAATTCTGATGTACAACCAGGTTTGGGAATATGATTTGTCAATGTATAAAGGCAAAATCAAGCTCAGTCCATTCCTAGGGATTTTTGTCACAGGACCTTTTGGGAAGGGACAATGATGATAGGTGAATAAGGAGGAGGATGACTTTGGGTAAAAGGGAGACTGGGGACTCCAGGTTAGGAGGTGGAATGGGAGATGAACTGGCAGTGGGATGGAAAGTGTCAACATGGAGATTTGCCCTTCTCTTCATCCTCACCACTGCAGGCACCACCCTGGGGTAAGGGGTTGTCCCAGGCAGCACTGGTGGAGGGGGAGGAGGAGAGAAATCCCAAGCTGTAGCAGTGGGGAGAAAGGAAGTTCCTGTGGTCTTATGTTTTTCTAGGTGGCTGCCCATACAAGTGGCTATACCTAAGTTGGGGACTGCCTGGGCTGTACTGATTGCCATAAATGGGCAGACAGAAGATTAATTTTCTGTGGGTAAACTACCTTTGGAATTTAAAGTTTCAAGAGCTTTGCCCTTGAAATGTTTACCTTCGATGACATTTTCTTTGTATATGGTGGCCAATTTAAAGATGAGTTAAGCTCTTGAGATGAATTACTATTCCACATTCCAATCTCTACATCCTCTTCCTCTTCCCAGCCAGTGGGGCGATTTCCAGGCAATGGCATATCATCACCACACCAGCCATCTTGCATAGATTTTGGCCCTGATTGTGGATTTGTGACACAAAGAGAAACATACTTTAAAATAAAACAATTCTTTCGGGAGGACAAGTACACATTAAAAAGCAAGGAGAGGGGACCTAAAAACAAAAAATAAAAAACAAAGCATACTTTTATTTCTCTTCCCAAGTTTGTATAGTAGGAATGTACATTTTATACTGAGTTAAAAGTGCCTTTAAAAAAGTCAATAAAACTTCTCCATGCCTTTACAAATCAGGGTTCCTAAACACGGACAATGGTGGCATTCTTGTTCATACCCACTTAACAACCTGCATAATGATGCACCGGACAAAGAAGATGGATGAAATTTGAAAGGATCAATTTTGATATATATATTTCAAGCAGAGTGGCCAAAGAGCATTGAAAGTCACAAGCAGAAAGCATCACATCTCCACACATGGCCTTTGGGATTCCTATAGGTTATCTTGTACACAATCTATGGGATAATGACAATGTTAACCTGAATCTCTGGGTCCTTTCTGAACTATGCTAATTTTCTGTGTAATTTTCAGGGAATCATCTGAGAGTCTGGATATATGTCTCTGTGGCTACACTATTCAGTCTCTCAGGTTGGATGGCATGAATGTTGTAGGACTATTTCCAGAAAATCTAATTTGGAAAAATATAATTTAGATTTAGTGAAATACATGTAAATTAACAGCTGCAGTTCTAAGAAATATGAGAAAAGAGGAAAATTCAGAAAGATAAAAGAGAAAACCATTTACAAATTCAAAGAGCCAAATACTAAATATCATCTAGTATATCATATTATATGGCTACATTATCAATAACATAGAAACCTTATCTGATTATTTAATTACAGTCAATGAGTGATGACCACTGCTACAAAATAGCTACCAGGGATTCTCAATAACTTACCAGATTTGCTTAATGCTTGTGGACCAACAGAGCTGGAGCCCCACGTGGATGTGTTGGATGCCGCAGCAATGGGTTCCCCCCAGCTGGGACCACTGTCTATGGGTTTACCCCATGCTGAAGTACCATTATCCACAGTTGTGGCTGGAGTAGAAGGCTCCCCCCAGGGCTCACCCCAGCCTTTAGAAAGTGTGGGAAAAGAAGTCATCAGCATAGATGGTAAGGAGGTACAGTAGAATAAGGGATAATAAAGAATACTTAGGGAACCAAGGATGAAGAACTTCATGTTTATGTACTGAATAATGATACTGTGATAGGCAAAAAGATGGCATCTGCTTCATGTAAAAAAGATAAACCATTTCCCATTGATATAACTTAACTATATGGGAAGAATATTTTTTTTTTTTTTTTGAGACAGTCTCATTCTTTTGCCCGGGCTAGAGTGAGTGCCGTGGCGTCGGCCTAGCTCACAGCAACCTCAAACTCCTGAGCTCAAGTGATCCTCCTGCCTCAGCCTCCCGAGTAGCTGGGACTATAGGCATGCACCACCATGCCCGGCTAATTTTTTCTATATATTTTTAGTTGTCTGATTAATTTCTTTCTATTTTTAGTAGAGACGGGGTCTCGCTCTTGCTCAGGCTGGTTTCGAACTCCTGAGCTCAAACAATCCGCCCGCCTTGGCCTCCCAGAGAGCTAGGATTACAGGCGTGAGCCACCGCGCCCGGCCGGGAAGAATATTTTTTTAACCTCTCCTTTCATAATTGCCCTCTGTGCCTAGAGCTGATTCTTGAATAATTATGGCAAACCATCCTCCCTTGAGGATTTGAATTTAATTCCTGAAAAAGTCAAGTCATTCTGAACTAAACCTAGTGAACTGAAGCAGGTGACGAAGCTGAAGAATAGTGTGTGAATAACATTTTTACCAAAAGTGTAACCTTTCCACATCACTGTACTGAATAAACAATTAACTGCAAGGCTAACGATGGGTAAGCAGCCTACTTTTATACATGCTGGATAACACTTATTTAAAAATCTGAAGTGTTAGGTTGAGGCTGTCCAAAGCAAAGAAAATCAAAGCCATAAACATATTTTGTTTAAAAGAACTAAAGCAAACAACAGGCTTCCACTTAGATACATACCGGTCTCTTCTCAGAATCAAACCTAAATTAATACAATAAACTCTACTCTGACTAAAAAAAAATGAAGTGATGAAAAGTTAGTTCTTGAAAGCACTCCTATCTCTATGTCCAATGAGACTATTATTCAATAACACTTTTATTAACAAAGACAACGCATGCCCATCATGCTTAACAGAAATGTTGGTACCAGTAAAGTTTGTAGAGATAGGAATTCATTCGTTGTAAGAGAGGAAAGTGAGAATATACTAGAAAAGTACTGTCCAATGTTTTCAATACACACATACACACTGTATCTAAGTAAATTTGAATTTCTTGTCTGCTTAAAAAAAATCTCTTCTAAAGCGAAATAACGTTTAGAGTATACTGTACTTACTTGTTTTATTTCTGGGGATATTTTAGTCAAATAATAAAACCAAAAAGTTAAAGCCTAACTTGCAAAAACTCAGAGAAGTATACAGCATGCTCAGTTGTCCCCACTTTTCCAATTCTGCCATCTATTGCATTCCCAATACAGAATGGAGAATGTAGGATTCACAATACTGCCAAAGGCAGAGCTCTGTTCTCTGATAGTAAAAATTGCCCCTATAATTTTCCTCAGCTTCTTCTGGATTAGAGTAAAAAGGGCCTTTGTGTGCATACCCAAATACTTTGTTAAACAAATTTTATAATAACTTTAAGTTGCAACAAGCTTGCTTTCAAAATATTAAGCATTTTGTAAAACCACTGGACTCCATAAAATAAGAACTTACCAGATCCACTGCTTGCCTCTTTGTTTGAGATGGCACTTGCAGATGGTAGCAGCTGATGTACCTGTGCTTGCTGGTCTGAACGGCTGCTGCCATTTGGGACATTTTTGTTCCACATGTTCACATTTTTGTAGTTGTATTTGCTTGGATCTCCCCAAGCTGAAGTTCCATCATCAATCTCCATTTTGCGACGTATAGATTCTGGGGATGGTTCCTCCCAGCCTGTGGGTTCTTCTTCTTTTGTTGGGGCTGGTATAGGTCCCCCCAGCCAGCCTGTACCAGGAGGTTTGCCGGTAGCTGGTGGGATTCCCCAAGATCCAACAATGTCCTGTTGCTTGTTCCAGTCTGGAGAACTGACTGGCTTTGACGAATCTCCCCAACCTAGAGACTGATTAGACTTTGGAGGGTCTCCCCATCCCTGGGAAGGATTAGGTTTAGAAGATTCATCCCATCCTGATGAATTATTTGGATTTATGTTATTTCCCCAAGTAAAAGAACTAGTCTTACCAAGTTCATTCCAACCAGAAACAGACCTGTCACTATCACTACCTCCTGAGCTGGATTTCTTATTAGCCTCACCCCAATGGTTACTCCTTGAAGTTTCTCCCCAGTTATCACCGGCAGAAACAGACCAACCTTGGCTTGCCTTTTGTCCATCACCCCATCCCTGTTTGTTCTTTTGCGAATCATTCCATGCAGACTTCTCTTCTTTGCAATTGCCCCACTGATTGCTCTTGATCATTCCTGTAGCAGCAGAATCATCTTCCCACCCCCCCTGGCAGTTTGAGCCTTTGGAATCTCCCCACCTCAGAGTAGGTTTGGGATCGCCCCACCCCGATACAGATGAGGTATCATTACTATTAGGGCTAGTCTTATCTATACATGCCCCTGAGTTAAAAGTCTGTGTTGCAGAGCTTCCCCAGGCCTCTGTTCCATTGTCAGTCTTTCGTTCCCCTCTAGGTGATGTTTCAGTATCCCAGGCAGTATTCTGCTTAATAGGAGTCTGTCCCCAACCAGAGTTGGATAGGACACGTGGATCTAAGTCAGTTCTGTTTACAATGCTTTGGAGTAATGTGTGCTGATCAATTTTTCTTCTATCTCTACTCTGACTTTCCCCAGCTACTTTTTCCTCAAGGCGTCCAGTGCTTTCTGTACTACCATCGCTCTCCACTGTACCTCCTGTTTTGGCCCACACACTGTTTTGCTCATTTGTCTGAGATGCGGCAGAACCCTGATCCTCTTCCTCAGTAGATTTCCATCCATTTGTAAACTTCTTACCGTTGCCATTTGCACTGTCATTGGAATGCTGATTGCTAGGCAGTTTGTTCCACTCAACGCTGGGTATATTAGTGCCAGTGTTTTGTGCAGGGGTTCCCCATCCTCTTCGACTTCCTCCAGAATTCGCACCATTTCCACTTCCCCATGACGTACTCTGGGAATTTGCTGCCCCAGACTCCCATACACCTCCTCCTTTATTTGTGTTAACTTGAAAGTTAGTGCCCATAGGCCCATTTACACCAGGCTGCATTAGAGTTGCATTCACAGTGTCACCATTAGCTTGGCCGTTAGGGCCTGAACATTTGTCTCCAGAGTAGTTAGAACCATAGGCACCCCATGTAGTACCGTAAGAGCCTCCACTTTTTGACTCTCCATTGCTAAGATGAGAAAGGGAAGTGCCATTCATAACTGATGGAGCCTGTATCTGAGGATGATTCATTGTGCTCACACGCCAGGCCCCTGTATTACTACTAGGCAGTTCATTATTCTGTACGGAACCGGAGTTTGGTAAACTAGAGGTCATAAAGTTAGTAGTGTTATTTGGTCCAGTCATTTCAGTGGTAATATTTTGAGGTTGACCACTGAATGAAACCTTCTGTGTACCACTTACTTCAGATTCACAAGTTTCCTGAAGGCTTCCCCAGGTACCATGGGTAGAAGAACCACTCACTTTAGAGTTAATACTCTGATTGTTAGGCATCTGGCCTATGGTACTGCACTGAATATTGATGCCAGAACTACCACTCCCTACGGGCCCTTTTAGGGCAAGTCCATTGTTCTCTAATACTGGCCAGGCACCATGGTTGCTAGCTGAATTCAAAGTGCTTGGATTTAACCCTCCATTTGATGAAGAACTTACAGTGCCCCAAGCATTCATTCTATTGTTGCTACTTTCGGGTTTGCTTTCAGGAGCATCCACAGAGACCTGACATGTGCTTATTATGGCTCCATGGGAAAAACCCCATGGTCCAGTACTATTTCCATGGCCCACATTATTGCTGCTGCTACCAACTACAAACTTGTTTTGGGAACCGAGTCCAGTGCTATTCCGAAGGCCATCTTTTTCACCACCTGTGCTCCCTGAAGCCATGATAGTGATGTTTCTCTCTGATTCAGAACTGGAAGCAGAATCAGCATCCATACATTCTGAAGCCAACTCTGGATCACTGCCAGGGGCTGAGGGCCATGCTTCTTTTTCAGACAAGTCACTTACAACAGCATTCTTACAGTTTGTGCTAGAATCACTCGTAGAAGACACAGGTCCCCGCTGGGAATTTTCATAATGGGATCCTGAAATATTCTGGTTTATATCTAGAATAAAGGAGAAGTACAACTATTTATGAAGTGTTAGTCAATTTTAAAACAACACTAAATAACCTAAGAAAATGCATATACGTGGCTCCTTAACTTTAACAAGACATGATACTTGACATACAAGACATGATACTTGACAATACGGTTACAGGGGCATTGGTTATCTTCCAGCCACTAACTTTCCATAACCAGTAATTCCACAAAGCCAGGGAATTTTGCTGCTTTGTTCACTGATATTATCGTAAGATCCTACAGAAGTGCCTAGAACATAACAGCCCCTCAATAAATATTTCCTGAATGAACAACATGTCAGTAAGTGAAAGAATTTTGGAGTCAAGAAAGACTGGTAGGTAGTGATATATTAGGATAATGGAGCAACCCAGGCTCAGAAACTTGACATGGGAAAGAAAGAGCTGAGATGCAGATGGGTAAGGGTAAGTGAATAGGGATATTTTAGGAATCTTTTCCCAACCTCCATTTCCTAGTATAGCTTTTCGATACAACTGTTTTGGGTATTATAAAATGTTTTAAGAATTCCAAGGTCTTTTCTATTATATTTCCATTTCATTAGGGTCCATATTCCACCTGAAATACTATATCCAGGTGAGAATATTTTTAGTTCAACTCCCTCTCATAAAATTTTCTTTATTTATCTTTATAGCCATGTTTATGAGAGACAACAGAAAAATAATGGTTAATTGATATGCTGGAGATCACGGAACTATTATGATAAAAAAATCAACTGCTGACACTGGAGACCATTACTGACCAATCAGATAATCCTGTAGTCTTAGACTTACTGTTACATACTATTATCTAGTTATTTTACCATAGGTAGAGAAGTTCTAGTGCTCTGATAGTTCCCCAGATTATTTACTGTTATTTGGTTTAAGGATCTGGTGGGTACAATTTCCTCAGAGATATTAACCTGCATAAGATATTTACATATAGATTGTTTTGAGGGAGTTGCTTATATTGTAGTTCTCTATTTGAGCAGGAATCAGAATCACGTGTTGTGTTTCTAAACACACACTCAAGTCATGTCCCAGACCTAATGAGCCAACCTCCAGGAGTTGTAGGCCTAGGAAATAAATGAAAGTCACTTGTAGGATGATTTGCTAATATGGAAAATCATATTCAATTTGTATCATTTTTTCTGAAGCACAATCATGACAGAGCAAAAGATGATGAGCTGGAAAGAGTGGCAGGAAAAGTGACTGGAGAGAGCAGAAATGTATATATAATTCATTAAATAATACATTTTAAAGTTCCACAGGTGACTCTAATTTCCACTCTGTTTAAAAATCATTTCTTTACGCTGACAAAATGCATCATGTTTCAGTACCCATGAGGAGGATTTGTCATAAAATAAAGGGTAACAAAAAGTCAGTCTCACTGGGTAAAAACAAATCAACATACCAACGCCAGCACCAGCACCATCAGGGACACCAAAAAATGTTTGGCTTTCAGTGCTGGGGATCACGACCTTGGTACACACTTTGATCACTGAATCCTTTGAACAATCCTAGACCACGGGGATTCCCTTCACTTGCAGATAAGGAAATCAAGGTTAAGAGGTTAACTTATGGAAAATCAAGTGAGAAAGGCAGGATTCATCAGAATCCTTCATAAAGCAAGGTGGCCAAGAACATGGCTGGGACTCTAGAGACACCTAGATTCCAGTATGGACTCTATACGATCAAATCTGTAAAACGAGAATAGAAACCGTACTTGTTAACTGTGCTATCATATATAAAGCATTCAGCTCAGTGCTGGCTGCAAATAAGTGCTCCATAAGGGGCAGTTTGATGTAGTGATTAAAAGCACAGACTCTGGAGCCAGACTGCTTACGTTTAAGAGATGGTCCACCATTTATTAGCTGTGTGACCACAGGTAAGATCCTCGATCTCTCTGTGCCTTAGTTTCCACATATGTGAAGTAGGAACAACAGTACTAATCTCACACAATTGTGAAGATTAAGTGACTAATAAATAAAAGTGCTCAAACCATATCTGATCCAGATTAGGTGCTTAATAAATGAAGGCCATTATTATCATTAATTAATGCATGCTAATGATTATCACCATTCTTCAGTCCTCTCTCCAAACCACGTTTTTCATTCCACCATGTCTTCCTCATGAAGAAGAAAATGAGAAATCATAACAACTTGCCTACTTAAAATCTCCACTTAGATATTTCAAACAGAAGGTTAACTACTGGGTTTACACTCCAACAGACGCTTCCTCCCGAAGGGGAGTAAGGAGAACTGCTTCTGTACTCGTCTTCCTCATCTTGGTAAGTATCCTAAAACCTAGAATTTACCCATTATTCTTCCCTGTGCACATTGAATCCAAAACATCACCAAGTCCCAAATCCATACCTTTCTTCCTCAAATCTAACACAGTCCAGCCATCATCGTCCTCTCCTGGACTTTTACAAAAAGTATTTATGCTGCCATTACTTGCCTATATGTGTGAATGTGTGTGTGTGAATGTGTGTGTGTACATGTGTGCATGCATTGCTACTTCTGCAAGGCAGGAGTAAGAAAATAAGACTGGACATCTCAAACAAAACTACCCAGGTGGAAAATAAAGGAACTGAGCCAGAATCAGAACGTAACAGCAAAACACCAGAAACATTCCCATAATGACAAGAAAAAGACAGGAATACTTGTTATCACCACTGCTATCTGACCCTATGCTGGAAGTACTAACTGATGAAATATGACCCAAAAAGGAGAGGTAAAGATAATGGAATAGAGACAAAAAGGGCAAACATGTAAAAAAACAATAGTTTTACTATACACCAGGAATAATCAATGAGAAAACGTGATAGAAAAATGATCCTAACCACTAACAGCCATAAAATAGTATGAAATAAAGCTAATAAATTAAAGTCTTTTATGAATTTTAAATTTTATTGCCAGCCATAGAAGGCAACTTATAAATATACAAACTTGTTTCCTGGATAGGAAGATGTAACAATGCTCCAAGCTTAATTCAATTATAAGAAATTGTTAACAAGAGTCTGTAGTATGATTAGAAGTTATTTCAAAATTCTATAAAACAAATGGAAGAATACACTAAAGAAGAGGAGTTTATGAAGGAGAGAATCTGCATTACCATTCAACAGTTAAGCAGCACTGCACTGCCAGAGTATATAAGCACTTTGATTGAACGGAAGTAGTAACCCAGAAACAGATCCAAGTATGTGTCAAAGATAATATATCAAGGGTTAGTATTTTAAATCAGTGGGGAAAAGGAATATTCAACACTCAGAAAATATTTTTAAAATGAGACAGTATATCAAAAATAATTCCAAATGATTAAAGCATTAAAAATAAAAGATGACACCATGAAGGTAGCAGTGAATAAGAGGTTTTAATATCTACATAACAGATTTGACTACTTATTTTTAAAAAAGTGAAACATTTTAATGTCAGAATACATCAAAAAGCAAAGCAAAAAAGCAAACACCAGAATACACTCTGCAAATGAGTTCTATCACCTTTAATTTTAATGAAAAATGTTTTCAGATTCAGATCATAACCTGGTTTGGAGTTGGTGGTGGTCTAAGTTTGTCTTTCACTGTATCTTCCTATGTATTTTAAGAAAATAAGGAGCGGTGCCATCAGTAATTACTAGCTCAAACCCCTTTTTAAACTGGAAGCCATTTGACCAAAACCTAAATTAGACCGTTTAAAAAACTGGGTTACCAAGGGTGAGTTACAAGGCACTTTTGGTTATAAAGAAGGCTGTAGTTTAGAAAGAAAAATTAAAAGGTGTTCAGAGGGGGTGGTGACAGACAATATTATAACTGAAAGAGTGAGAAGAACAGGACTATTCAAGAATCACAACTAAAATGTTTCAGAGTCAGAGACTGTTCCAGAGTTGGAGGAAGCCAAATAGTGTATTTCCCTTATAGACCAGGAGTCAAAAATCCATTGTTATAATTGATTTAGAGGATGAATACATAAGATGTAAATATAAGATTATCACCCAGATTTTCTAGGAAACAGTAAGATTGAAAATTCCTGCACTAGTAGGAAGAAAGGGGCAGTTGAGTTTTACTGAATGCAACACAAAATACAAATTTTTAGACACTGCAATGATGTAGGCAAACTAAGATTTGGAAGCTTGCAAGTTACTTAGAAACATCTGAAATCCAAAATATCATTAGCATCCTACTCTCATACGAAATTCCCACCGGAGAAGTGGGGGCAGCTACATAGTACCACATCTCAACAAGAATGTAACAGCGCATTACAGAGCATCTATTCAAAACGATCAAAGAGGTTAGGTGGGGGTAGAGCAAAGACTCATGATAATTCAAGTGATTTATAAAGAAACCACCTAATTTATTCAAGAAGACTTTATATCCATGGAAACTCATACATTCTTCTTATAAAATACATAGCATGTAAACAAACAGGTAAATATTTGCTTTTTGCCTTGAAGACTTTCAATTTTGCCAGAAGGGGGAGAGCTTCGAAAGTAAATAATACTTAGGTTTTACAGTGTTTCCAAGGAGCATGAGATGGGACCACTGAGAATATGAGAGAACCTTAGATATACAATTTCAAATAGTTCTTAAGTATGAAAGTTCAAAATGTCTCTTTCAGTTGTTATAGCCTTTGATCCAGGGGTTGGCAAACTTCTTCTGTAGAGGTTCTGTTAATAAATATTTTAGGCTTTGTAGGCCAGATGGTCTGCAGCAACTACTTAACTATGCCATCATAGCTTGAAAGCAGCCACAGACAATATGTAAATGAATGGGCACAGCAGTCTTCCAATAAAGCTGGATTAAAATAGGCCCCAAGCCAATCTCTGTTCTAGATTAAAGAAGACAAAAGCAATACCACTGGCTTCTGGTTTGAGAGACAGGGTGAAGCTGGTAGGGAGTCAGCTATAGAAGACATTCTTGGAGATGTTGCTCTGGACCAGAGGGTGAACATCTCAGCCAGGGCAAGTGATGGCAACAGTAATTAAGGGGAGACAGGAGAATACAAAGATAAATTCTGAAGCTAAAACCAGTAGGGCATGGTAAACCCAGTGGCCTGTGAGACATGAAGGAGAGGAAAGAATAAAGCATGATTTCAAGGTTTCTAGATGGGTGACTGCATGAATGGGAGTACCAATCTTTTGAGCAAAAGGACCCAGAAGGAGGAAGAGGTATGGTGGCAAAATCAATGAATTCAAGTTTGGATATATTGTGTTTGAGGGGCCCAACAACAGCTGAAGACATCCAGAAAACATGCACCTAAAACGTGAGATTTGAAATAAAACCTTGGGAGAGAATAAAACCTAAGAGCTTGTCAAAGAAAAACCATGCAAAACACAAAAGAGGAGCACAGAGGCATGAGGAAAACAAGGGATATATAGTGGCATAGAGGACAAGGAATGAAAGAGCTTTAAGAAAGAGGAAATAATCAACAGCAAAAAAATGTACATATCTACTATAAGATAAAAATGAAAAAGAAAGAAAAGAAAAGGAATATTTCTAACATAGGAAAGGCTATAAAGAGTAATATAAAAAATACCCATATGCCACCACCTTAAGAAATACATTACTAATATAGCAGGAAAAAACTCCTGTGTACCCTCTTCTCTGATTCCATCTCCTTCTTTCCCCAGTGGGTATCCCAATACTAATCACTGTTGTTTTGCATGCTTTATATTTTATATGAATGGGCCAGCGTGGTGGCTCACACCTGTAATCCAGCACTTTGGGAAGCTGAGGTGGGAGGATCGCTTGAGGTCAAGAGTATGAGACCAGTATGGGCAACACAGTGAGACCTCATCTCTATACAAAATTTAAAAATTAGGTGGGCACTGTGGTGCGTGCCTGTAGTCACAGCTACTTGGGAGGCTGAGGCGGGAAGATTACTTGAGCCCAGGAATCTGAGGTTGCAGTTAGCTACGATGACGCCACTGCACTCCAGCCTCAGCAACAAAGTAAGACCCTGTCTCTAAGAGGGGGGGAAATGTGTGTGTGTATATGTAAAATATAAATGGTATCATACTGTGAACAAAAAATTACATTCGTATGGCAACCAGTAGAAATATGAACACAAACTATAGAAGATGTTGTTAAACTGTTAATATTCTTTTGCTTAGAAGTGATGATGCTATTGTGGTTGTATAGGACATACAATCCTTATTTTTACGATAATTACCTGTGGACATATTAAAAGTAAAGTGTCATGATGTTTACAACTTGCTTTTAATTGATTCAACAATAGTAAACATGTGCACATGTGTGCATTTGTTGTATTACTATACCTGAGAAAGAGACACAGAGATAGAAAGGTGTGTGTGAAGTTAAGATGGGACAATGTTAACAACTGTTGGATCTGGGTAGAGGGTATTCAAGTGTTCACTATTCTCATCTGTTTAACTTTTCTGCATGGATCATATCAGTTGGATAATAAAAAGTAGGATAGAACACTTTTGCCCGTAAGAACAATGTTGCTGCTAGCCCTGCTGGGCATACTTGTCTACCCAAATCCCTCATTACATGGCCTATGAACCCCCCAAATTCAAGGGTTATTTGGGCAGCAGCAAGGCCTGACCCCTTAGGGCTCTAAGAAGTCAACTGAAAAAGAGAGATCTTAATTCTCAATTAAAACCATCAATAAGTGTTTGAGGCATAGCCACGAACTCGAAGCCCAGGGCTAGCCTGTAGCACTGTCTGACCAGCACAAGGTTAAAAATAAATAAATAAATGAATAAGAACGTAAGGGTATTTAGGAAAGATACAAAATCAATACAGTTACCATGGGTAACATCACTCCTTTTCATCACTTACTTCATATACGACCTGCTAGCCCCTGAAGGCATTTAGTTTGTGGCTTCTGCTTTAGAAAAAACCTAATCTCGTCTAGGTGATTTCCCTGCTCTCTGAATGAGAAATGTATTATTGTATATGAAGACAGGAAGGCATATTCGGTACTTTTTTACCATGAAAGCTAAGTAAATTTCTATGTATCACATTAAATGCCACATCTACTCCATTAACTATCTCTGTTCAAAAAAAGCCAAATAAAAATAGACAAAAATAAAAACAGTTCAGATTATGCTCCCACAATTCTGAACTACATGTAGTCCACAACGAACAATTTTCATGTTTCTGGGCCACTGATCATGCTGTTTATATTGTCTAATATACTGTTCTTCATTGATCAGTAGGCTAATTTCTAATCTGTAAAATGATACTATCCAATCTGTAAAATAAGTATTGAAAGAGTTAATACAGGGTTAGTCATTGTATCATTATTGTTAGTAACTCTTCAGCAGCTGAACAAACCTAACTTCTCTAAGAAGCCTTCTGACTTCACTGACTCCCAGTGGTCTATTTTATGGCTAAAGTTCCTGTTACCATTCACAGTAGCACCCACAAAGAAATATGTAAAATATGCTGGTAAGTGGGATTCACAGATGTTTTTAAAAAGACAAAAGTACAAATCTGGTTCTTCCTTGGAATGCTTTGGCTTCATCGTCTGCATTCTCTAGGTGTTTAGGGATTTAAGTCCAGATCTCAGACTGCTACACCCTCCTGACTTCCATCTTAACCTCCACATTAATGTAGTCTATCCCTGTAAAGTTCTTTGACAAACAGGCAGGATGTTTTTCCTTCTCAGCCTCTTTTGAAGCTTCTTCCTATGCCCATGCCTAAGGCCTTCTTCTCATCTGAATACACACTTGCAACATTTTTGTTTTTGACCCATGGTCATTTTTGAGAAGATTCTTATACTCCTGTTGTTTCCATTTCAAAAATAGCTTTGTTCTCTCACTTCCCAAACTGAAAACACATATTTGACATATTTTCTAAATATACTATCCTACCTCGCCATTTGTTTTGTTAATTATCACATCATTTTGCTTAGCTCACAGTAAGTACTCAAACATTTGTTGTTCAACCTCTCCCAAGATTTTGAACCACATATTTTATTATGCTGATGACCAATACATCTGCTTCCGACCTGACTTCCCAGATGACCTCCAAATTACTAATCACCTATATTTGGCATTAGATGTAATATGTCTAAACCAAACTCTTCCTGAAGAGTACAAGTCTTTCTATAGAAGTCTTCCCCCTCTGTTAAGGGGAAGATAGTTTATTCAGCATCTAAACATTAGGCACTAAGCTAATCACTTTAACATGTCATATAATTAAGTCCTCAAAGTAACCTTGCAGAGTTGAGTACTATTGTCTACACTATACAGATTAGAAAAGAGGGTCAGATGAGTTATTTGACCAAGCTCACACAGGTAATAAGTGGCTATGAAAGTAGGAAGTAAGTATTAACTCAGGATGATAACCTAAATTTGTATCCTTTCCAATAACAATGTGCTGTTCTAAGTACCTATGCTAGAAAACTCACATTTGTGTCCTCTTCCTCCTTACCTATCACATCCAGCATGTTGCCAAAGCACAGCATGGTGGTTATGAGCATAGCTTTGGAGTCAGACAGATCTTGATGTGAGTCCAGGATCTGCTACTTATTAGCTGTGAAATACCATAATATATTATAATGTACAGAGTAGTTCTTGCTGTATATGAGAGAGTATAGAGTAAAAAGTGAGTAATTCTATCTGGGACAGTTAGGACAGGCTGTTCAGACACATGGAGCAATTAAGTAACCTACCCAAGGTCACGCATGCTGGGATATGGCGGAGCTGGGACTTAAAAACCAGGTCCATTTGGCTCTAGAGATGTCTTTCTTCATCGGTACTGCCTCTATACATGTTTTTGTGTATGGGAACCTTGATTCCCCTTGACTCTACCATCTAATTCTCTATCTGGCTTGTGGTAAAGCTTTAAAATGGCTGGATAAATAGATGGATGGACAGACCAACCAACTACCAAAAGCTATCAGAACATGCTGAAACAAACTGGACCTTAAGAAAACCTGTAATCACATACTCTTTTCTGCTTTACAATCATTATTGAGCTGAGAAAAGCCATTCTGAGGCAAGTAATTGAATACATTTGCTGTTTCAATATAATTTTCATCAGTGTCAGTCTTTTTACGGCATGCGGTAACTGAATGATCTTGGGCAAGTTATTTAATGTCTTGGTGCCTCAGTTTCCTCTGTTGAAAAGTGGAGATAAGAACTACATCTCACAGGGTTATTGAAGATTAAATGCAATAATATGTGTCACTGCTTAGCACATGACTTGGGGGGAAGTACTCAATTTTAGCTATAGTTTTATAGTCAATTTAAGCTATAAGCTCCTTATTAATTTGGGTAAAACCTAAAGGGAGAGAAAGTGGTTTAAATAATCATTTTAAATGATTAGGTAACTTGCAGGAAATATTTTAAAATTTCCCATTCAGGACTCCCTGTACAGAATTATAATAAAGCCAGATACTGATGGATACAAATACATCACCAAAAAGCTATGAATTTATAAACTTGCTATACTGCTAATGATGACCAAGTTTGAGTCTGTAAGAAATGCCTTCTCTCACCTGACTGGTTTTTGCTGTTCTGCACCTCTCCGTTATTTTGTAGCTGTTGATTTGTTAAAGCACTGCTTTCTGACTGGCTGTTTAACACTTTAACAGCAGATCCCAGGTTTGCTGCTATGACAGGAAAATGCTGACCCCTCTTTAGAAGCTGTTTGTGTTCCTGGTGGCGAAATCGTGGAGGTACTTCACGAGGATACCGAGGCAAAGCCTGTGGCTGCTGTTGCTGCTGCTGCTGTTGTTGTTGCTGCTGCTGCTGCTGCTGTTGCTGCTGCTGCTGCTGCTGCTGTTGCTGCTGCTGCTGCTGCTGCTGCTGTTGCTGCTGCTGCTGCTGCTGATTGTTGGCTGTAGCTCGCTTGGCATTATTATTAGTGCTGGTTGCTGTGGAAGTGCCGTTATTAGAGTTGGCAGGCTGAGGCTGGCTTACACTGGGCTTTATCTGTTCTGGCACTAATCCCAACAAAAGAAAAGGGGTGGAAAAGATTAGCCAGTAAAGTGTACCTCCATAGTAACCCATCTAAATTCAAAGGCACTAAGAAAAATAATCCTAAAGAAACAGAAGCTTTAAGTGTGCAGGGATATCCTCACACATGGACTCAGGCTTTCTTAGAATCACTGTTAGGAGTCAAATTTTACTTCTGTTAACACCTATCCAATAAGGGCATAAAGATCCTTGGCCAGGGTGACAACTCATGCTCGCCATCTCTCTTACCATGTTATACTCTGATCACAGAACAGGCACTCATTACATAACCATGAAACCCACAAGGACTAAAAAAACAAATGGGGCAAATCAATTTTTGGTAGTCCTACAAGAATCCTCAATTCCCTGGTAACTATTCTTATTAAGCCTCATTTTTAATATGTTTGGTCCGTATTTTTTAAACTCTGAAAGGCAACACAAGAACAAGAGTAGAAAATATTCTGCCAGTTTCCTTACAAAAAAGCAAAGTTAACAATGGTTTTCACTGTTAAAATGTAAAGTCTGAATCAAACAAGACAAACTCAGAATACAGAAATAAACATAAAGATAAAACAATTAAATCTATGAGATTTATCAAGATTAGAGAATTTGGATACTCTATCTTAAGCAAATACGAAAATTAAATCAGAAACTGTAAATAGTGAATTTCTGGACTCCTAAAAGAAACGAAGTAAATAAACTGATGGAAATGCTTTAAACCAGTGAAAATATACTCAATCTCTAAAACTACAAAGAGACGGCATGGAATATGCATGAGCTTTTCATGCCAGATAGACTCAGGTTTCGATCCCAGTTCTACCTTTACTAAGCTTTGTGTCTTTGGGCAAGTTGTATAAAGCTGACTGACCTGCTATCCCTCAGTAAAACAGGGATAATATCTATACTTCACAGGGCTATCCTAAGGTTAAATGTGTTAATGTTTATAAAGCACAGAACATAAGGCTATTCTTTAATAATTGGCACAGGCCAGGCGCGGTAGCTCACGCCTGTAATCCTAGCACTCTGGGAGGCTGAGGCAGGCGGATTGTTTGAGCTCAGGAGTTCAAAACCAGCCTGAGCAAGAGCGAGACCCAGTCTCTACTAAAAATAGAGAGAAATTAATCAGACAACTCAAAATATATAGAAAAAATTAGCTGGGCATGGTGGCGCATGCCTGTATTCACAGCTACTCGGGAGGCTGAGGCAGGAGGATCGCTTGAGCCCAGGAGTTTGAGGTTGCTGTGAGCTAGGATGATGCCACAGCACTCTAGCTGGGGCAACACAGTGAGACTTTGTCTCAAAAAAAAAATAATAATAATTGGCACAATACCAGATAACACTTTTGTAGCAGTTTAATGTTTCTGTGAAATTTTGATACATCTTCACAGATACCACTATCAGACAAGGGAAGTGAAACACCTCCATGTTACTGGTGAGGACACTCACAGAAAACTCTGTTCAAGGGTTAAGAGCTCCAGTCCTGGGTTTAATTAAAACAGCCCCATCACTCACTACCTGGGTTATCTCTGTATCTTTCTCCTCTATAATTCTGCCTCCCAGATAATTTAATGCTCTTTAAAGTAGGGACAGTCTTGGTCAAAGGGCCAGCATACTGCAACCACTCAGTAAACAGAAGCTATTATTGTGGCCTAAATAAGATAAATATTTATGAAATGCCTACAATGTACATGATGCTCTGACTAAAGCCGTGGTCACCTGTGTTGCTTACAACAGTCGCCCAATTTCCTCTTCCACACTCTCAGCTCCAGAGCCTCCCTTAGTTAACAGTCTAGCCTCCCTATTGTCTTTCTTCTCTGAACATCTGGTGGAGTTAGTCTATATCAGTCACACTAATACTTTTATTTTTTTTACCCTCATTTTTTTCAATATGATTTCAGTTTTTCCAAAGTAATACAAGTAAATTATAGCATGGGAGAAATTACAGCAAAAAATTACAGGGATTCTATCTGTTGCTTGGAAGCCTTTCCCTTCTTCTTGACACTAACAAGCCTCTTACTGATAATCTGGATAACGTGCTTTCTGGGCCTAATTACTTTATATATGAAAATTTTGTCTCCCAGACAATTTAATGCTCCCAATATGTAGCGATAATGTATATTCCTTTGTGTGCCTTACACAGTAATAAACAATTATTAGCTATTAAAAACATTTAGTGAGGACAATATGGTATTAGAATATTCTAAAGTACTTCCAAAACCAAAGGAAGATAAAGTACAGTAGACCCACTGTATCTGTGGGTTCCTCATCCAAAAGTTCAACCATCCACAGATCAAAAATATTTAAAAAAATAACAATACAACAATAAAAACAATACAACTATTTATATAGCATTTATACTGTATTACATATAAATAATCTAGAGATGATTTGAAGTATACAGGAAGATGTGCATAGGTTATGTGTAAATACTGCACTATTTTATACAAGGGACTTGAACATCCACAGATTTTGGAATCCATGGGGAGCCCCGGAACTAATTCCCTGCAAATACGGAGGTACAACTATATATGTAACTATGAAATTATAGGGAACATAAAAACTCTAACTTGGCTTTTACATGCTTAGTACTGGACTTAGCATCACATTTGTTTGCCACTTTATTATTTAAAAAATTAAGCATTCTAAAAAAAATAACATTGTGACAATTTTATACTAAAGCAAGGTGTTATTTATGTGAGAAAGCATAGGAAAATGCTCTTTATATATTTAAGAGACTCAAAGATAGCCTACATGCAAACATTGTGAATGACCTACATGAAGACATGTATAAGAACCCTAACACTAAATCAGAAGTGACCAGAAGTTTAGAAGATATACCTACATCTGTCACCCAGTAATCCCACCCCTACCTCAGACTCAGATAACTGATATGCTACCTCTTATCAGTAAAACACTATGTGGAAAACAAGGCTGAGATAGGTACTCTTTTCTGGGGCCAGAAAACTTCACTAAAACCAGTAAAGACATTAAGACAATGTAACAATTGATTACAAAATTAAACAAATAATCTAAAGTAGAATCTCAGATATAAAATGGGATATACCTAGTCTGAGTAAGAGCAAGACCCTATCTCTATTAAAAATAGAAGAAAATTAGCCAAGCGTTGTGGCACACGCCTGTAGTCCTAGCTACTCAGGAGGCTGAGGCAGGAGGATCACTTGAGCCCAGGAGTTTGAGGTTGCAGTGGGCTACAATGACGCCACTGCACAGGGCAACAGAGTAAGACTCTGTCTCAAAAAAAAAAAAAAAAAAGGTGGAGCGGGGGCTGCAGGGGTATATAGTAGTGATGAATGACTAAAGGAGATGCTAACAGTAGGTGTAGGTAGGGGGGTCAGGGGATGCTGGGTAATATATAAATAACTGAATAATTTGGGCTATTGTATATGTGTAGTCAAAAATTTAAGTTAACCATGTCAGTAGGCACCCAAACCATTAAAAGGGAGAAAAAATGAAAATTAGAACATTTGATCCATTTAACACAGAAAATGGAATTTTAAAAAAATCCAAAATTTCGCTTAACACAAAATAAGATGTTAAATATAAGCCCCAAAATATCTGTATCGCAATAAATGTTAATGGGTTAAATTCACTTGTTAAAAGATAAAGCTTCTTAAACTGGGTAAAGAGAAACAAAATTAAGAAATGTACTTTGCAAAAAGCGCTCATGAAAACAATGCAGAGAAGTTGAAAGAAAAAGTATAAAGATATACCACCAAGAAACCCTAAGAAAATTTAAATGAAAACAATTTACTATTAGACAAAGGAAAATTCAAACAGAAAAAAACCATAAAAATTTCATATTGGTAATAAAAGAAACAACTAAAAAGATACGAGCAGTTTAAGAACTTTTATATACCAAACCTCATAGTATCAAAACATGTAAAACAAATGGAGAGAGGAAGAGAAAAAAATAAGAAAAAGCAAAACCACGTACCTTGAAAACATCTTTTTGACAAGTACCCATGTAATAGTCATAAGAAGTTAACATGCACATACACACACACATACACACACCATATAGTACTAAAGAAAACATGGATAAATTGCAGACTATAAATAATACAGAGGATATTTCTAGATTACAATATGTCACTAAAATTGACAAAACTAGCAAATAAAAACCTACCTTAAATAAATTTCAAGGTGAAGAGGAAATAAATATCAAACTACAGGTTGTCAAGAAAATAGTGAAAAGGATATATTTAATAATTTTAAGACATAGTTAAACTAGTGCTCAAAGAAAAATTCATCGTCTCATTTTTTGCCTCCTACCCTCCATCGTCTTATTTCCAACAAACAACAAAGGACATAAAGTATCCAACTCAAGAAGGCTTAAAAAAAAAAAAAAAAAACCTAAAGTAAGTAGAAAAAAAGGAATTAGTACAAACAAAAGTAGAAATCGATGACGTTAAAAACCAACCAATAAATCCAAGGCATAGTTCTATGAAAAAAGACTACTAGTTAGCATATTTTTTAAAAGATGAAAATAAAAAATAAATGATTTTTTAAAATCAAGATACCTCTTTATAGTCAACTCTATAAATAATAGTTTGAAAAGCTGGAAGAGGGAACAATTTAACACTGGCCACAGAAAAGGCAAGAAATCGGAATAGATTATTTAGCATAGAAGAAATGGAGAAATTTATGAACTTACCTATCAGGGCTACATAGTTTCATTGAGCAATACGAACATACTTTATCTTTTTTACTACTGTACCATTAACATGTATCTCTAAGTTTAATGACATTTAAATTGTTGCACAGCACAGTAAAAGACGGAACACAAACATAACACTGTTTCCAGTAAGTCAGTCAAAAATTTAGTAATCCCAAACAGAACAAAAAGAGATATAAATGGTCCTAGGAATAAAAAAGGAAGGAATAACTTCAAATATAGATTCTGGAAAGACAAGAAATACTATGTACCATCTATACCAATAAAACCTAAACTCCTGCTAAACTGAAAACAATGTTATATAACAGAGGTTGGCAAGCTCTTTCTGTAAAGGATGAGAGAGAGATATATTAGGCTT